TTTTTTTTTTTTTTTTTTTTTTTTTTTTTTTTTTTTTTTTTTTTTTTTTTTCGGTTCAAACAAAATTAAAATCTCAACTGTCGAATTTTTGTACAACTTCCCTCAAAGAAAATTTAAAAAGAAGTTTACTTTGTAACTCGATGTAAATACGCGCGTATTCGTGATTCGATAAACAAGTATTGTTAGAAATTGGAGTAAATTTTCATGTGAATCGGCTCGTCGATCGGTATAAAAAGTGATTATATGAATAAAAAAGCAAAACTCCCATGCCACCCGTGAGATAGAGATAGAGAGAGATGGATTTTCAAAGAGAGGGGGATGGGGTGTATAGAAAGGGACACAGGCAAGGCAAAGACTCTCTCTTTTCCTCTGATGTGGCACCCGGCCGGCTCGTTTGCCTCTTGTATAAAATCCATATTCTCCACGGGAGAAACAAGACGCTGCTGCAAGTGCATGTATACATGTACATATATATGGGTACATCAGAGAGAGGGGGGTTAAAAGGAGCGAGGGAGAAGCACGAGCCAGCTGCTGCAGAGCCTCGGGCCATAGTCTGCGAGATGTTCTCGCGTTACTATGTACGGCCCTGCGTCAACCCTCTCTCTCTCTCCCCCTCTAGCCTCTCTGCTCGTCTACCCCCTGCTACGTTCATTGACCGCGTTTTTCGGATCGTCGCCGCGCCAAAACCACCTTGCCTACGACTTCCCGTGCAACCTGCGCTTGCAGTCTTGCAGAAACATTTTTTTTTTTTTTTCAAATAACCTCGGCTCCTCCTTCTTTGTTTTTTCTTCCCACCCTCCACCCCTACCCTCGTCGATGTGCTCGTACACTGATCAGAGCAACGTCGCTGATCTTTATCGATTTTTTTTTTCTCCTCCCTCGGTTTATTAAACGGCAAGCGAAGCAGGTTCTTTTTTGTTCTTCCTCCGTCGTTCGGGCTTCGGAAGGGTTGAGGGCACGCGTTTGCGGGTTTCTTTACGAAGCGTTTGATACAGTACTTTTTTTGTTCCCTTTCGAGGTGTTTTTCGATACCAGCTGGCTAATATCGGTCCTTTATCTTTTTGGAACCTGCGCGCATGCAAGTGCTCAAATCACATCACTCGAACGCAACTAGTGTTTTTTTATTTGCTTCAACTACAAGTATATATACAGCCACGGTCGGCCGTGCAAGTGAACGAACTCCGCGCGATAAGATAAAAGTTCGAGTCGCGCACGTAACGCGTGTATATATATATATATGTATACATACGCCATCAGCTCGGGCTCCTTCTTTCTTATGAGTTTGCGAACGCACTCCTCTACGTACTTATACGTGAGAGTGTCGTACGAGAACTTGAGCTATGGATACGCGTAATGTCAAATATAACAAACGCATCTTTGCTAAGCGTATATGTGTATTTATATACGAGTAACGTAATACCGGTTAGATGAACTGGCACGCGTGTTGTTACCTAAGCTAATATAACGTCCAGCAGCTGTGAGCTTTTGTCGACCTGTTAGTGTGCACTTGATCACCTTGAGATGAGACTTTTCTATTTTTTTTTTTTTTTTTTTTTTTTTTTCAAGTTGGCATGGGAAGTATGAAAACGAACGGGGCGTGTCCTTTTGCTTTTGCAGCCAATTGTGATTTNTATATATATATATGTATACGTATGTATGCCAATTGCGAAAGGCTCGACTGCAACACACGTCTTTAGAATGTCGCAGGAGAACAATCTCCTCCTCGCTGTGGACATCTTGCAGCCACTGCCGACCAACAAATGGCCTCTACTCGAAGACGCTCTGCGCCGCGATTGGCCCCGTTTCGCATACGTGAGTCTATAATACGTATACTACACCTTTTATCGTGAATGCAAGGGTTGTTTTTTTTTTTTTTTTTTTTTTTTTTTATCGTATACGCGTGCCACAGTATCACTACTGGATCCGCAACGCCATCGACTGGAGGAGAAAGGAGCCGGGCATCAAACTCGACGTACTCTGTCCCGAAGGGAACCACGACAAGGGCGTCTTTATAGGCGTCTCCTCGGTAGGTGTACACACACAATAATTTCTTACATTTCCCAATGCTCACCCCCGTTTTTTCCCTTCAGTACTCGATGTACATGCTAATCCCGTTCGCGTTCCGAGAGTCAAGGTCCCTCCTCTTCGACTGCATCGCGAGGACACGGCGCATCGACTGGAAGGAGCCGGTGATTTTCGCGGCTGTACACGAGTACTTCGAGGACGCGGTGAGAAACGCCATCGAGTCCATGGGCTTACGAGTGGACGACAACGGACCCTCGAACTACTACTTCAAACCTAAGGAGCAGTGCCTCGACGAGGACATAAGGTATATATATATATATATGTGTGTGTGTGTGACGATGCTCGATGTATAAATACCGTGACGAGGGGTTTAGGGTGTCCGAAGGCTTGGAACTGCGGTTTCTGGGGGAGTCGGACGTGCCGGTGGTGCACGAGCACTGGCCCCGGGAGGAAGTGAAAAAGGAGCCCAACAAATCCACCGCCTACGTAGCTACGATGGTCAAACTGAGCCGTGGAGTTGGATTGTTCGACAAGGCCGATGGTAAGTTGGTCGCGTGGGCACTGCAAAACGAGTTTGGGGGCCTCGGTAATGTGCAGACGGTGGACGAGTGCCGGGGACGGGGCTACGCGAAAGTCGTGGTCAAGGCTCTGTCGAAGCTGCTGGCGGAGGAAGGCCGTGACTCGACGCTGTTCATCGTCGCGGGCAACTCAAAGTCCGAGGGGCTGTTCGCCTCGTTGGGCTACGAGCTCATCAACGCCGAGACCTTCATCGTCATGAAGCCCTTGAACGCCGGCAAATGACCCAAAATGGCAAAATCACTATTGCCGAGTCGGGGCTAGCGAGCGCAAGTGAACCCTTTTTTCGTTCCGTAAGGTGGGTACGGGTGAAGATTAATTGCCGGCAGCTGCTCGCGAGACGAGAGGATTTCCTTACGACGCGCGTCTTCCTTACATTTTTCTTTTCTCCCCCTCCCTCGCCCGCTCCGTCGCTGTAGAGAACTGCAGAAAAGGACTAGCCTCAATTATTTTCGTAGCCGTCAAGCCGGAAATCCTAGCTAACTGGGTTATTCAGCTCTCGGCCTACACGCGACGAGGTAGGAGGAAAAAAGGAAAATGTAAGAGCTAGTCGGGGGCCAAAATAGCTGGGGAAAACTATTGTACTGTACTCGCGTCACTCGTATTTCGAGCCATAAAGTGTATACTATGAAATAAAAAAATAGAAAGGAAAGCCAACCTACTGTATTATTGACAGGATCAGTTACGTGGAAAACTACTGAAAAATGTACCAAGTTATAAAAAAGATAGATGCTAAGGTGCTGCGTGACTTTAGAAGAAAATTAAGTTTGGGGTCAAGTAAAATGAAACACAATGTCCTAAATTATCTCTTTGGTTGTTTTTAGCCATTATGCTTTGCGTCTCTGAGCCTGTTGCACAAGTATACGTATGAATGAGATCTCTATCGAAAAAAGGTAAAGAAATTGCATGTATGTCAAATAGAAAAAAAGAAAAACTTGGATATATTGTATGTACGCTGACATCGCCGCACAGCATATACATGTATACCCGCAACGTAGCCGAGGTCATTCGCTTGATTCTCCGATAATGAAAAATTACGTATATCTTTGCAGGTTGGCTTTTTGCTTTCTACACAATATATGTATAACTCTGCTCTGTTATACAATACTTTTACGGTGCATAGGTGGTACGATGAGAGGAAAATACGAGGGCCACGATTATTTTTGGCTTTTTGCTGACTAAACAAAAAAAATAATAATAATAATAATTGAAGGGCATGTATGGTTTAGATTATCAAGAGCGACGATACCAGCCCCAGTTACGACACGCATAAACACATAATGCAGTGCCTACAAAGGTGCGGAGCGTGTGCTCGAGATAATGGTCCAAAGTGACGATATCTGCGCATGTATATACATGTATACGTGTATAGATAAAGACATATAGCTGTATGTATGGACGAACAGGAGGCATCGATAAACGCTCACATGGCAGCTATACACTGGTAGATCAATAGTATCGAATGTTGTACACTGTAGGTGTACTTCGATAGTGAAGCACCAATATGACACTTGTGAGCGCTTGGTACTGTGCTTGTCATTTACGGCTACTGAATGTATCCTAATAAAGTGTAACTTTGAAACTTGCGTTTATTACGTTGATAAAGTTATTTCCACAAGAAAGGTAAAGCCCATTCATAAACGTAGTTCATCAATGTGATTTGTGTGCATCGCAAACTCGCTTTTCGTAACCGAGAGTGCCGCATATTATAAAGTAAACGTTATTTTTACACTGGAGCATGCACGCGGTATCATCGTTTCAATAATCCCGTATCAGGTCCTTATTGCGATGTTTTGTTGAAATTCTGCGTATCAATCCGATTCTCGGATTCGATACCCATTGTTGTTATCACATAATTTTGTTTTCGCGGTTGTCGATATAGTCGGACGAGCTTTAATTGCCATTGTTTACGTTCTATATGTATACATTCCCTGCGATTATGGTACCAATTAATACTATTTTTATTGCGGCAATTGGTTGTTATAACGATGCTCGTCGCTTTTCAAGCCATTTTTCGTTACATAAAATATGTATCGAGTTATCTAACCGATAGATGTATAGAAAATCCCCGAAGCAAAATCGGTAAGCCGAAACGCGTAAAACACAGGCGTGGGCACTAAAAGCCCGTGGTCCGCGAGATTCAATAACCGTTAAAATTAATAATCCGCTCGGTTTCACTCGGAAGAAGCGCTGAATGGAAAGTCGATAGGACTAAGTTTATGTAGTACAAAGGGATTTTAAAAAACATCCTGTGGATAATAAAAGCTGAACTATAGTGTGGAGAGGGAGGAAGGAGCATAGCTGAACTTTGCTTTCTTCATTTATCTTTTTGAGTGCGAGCAGGAGTTTGAAAAAAACGAAAAAAAAAGAAAAACACGAGAAAGGAGGGATGGACTACATTTTCCGCGCATCGCGTGCCCTGGTGTGCCATAATTAAAGCTGCTGTACCTGTAACAACCACCACAAAACTCGCACGCCTGGGATGGGTGCGAAGAAAATACGGGTAGAGCTGCACTGTGGGAGGGGTATAAACTGGGAGTGAGGAACTTTCCAGCCGCGATTTTCATTCATCGTTTGAATTATTGAACTGCGGAAAAACTTTTTTTTTTCATCCTCCAGTTTTATAGAGTGTTGTGTTTTATGGCCCACCGGTTCTTTGGTTCATTTTTTTTTTCTTTTTTTTTTTCGTAAAACTATTTTATGCTCGAATTGTACGAGTAATTAGGGCCGCAAAAAGAAATAAACTTTTTGGCCTATACCCACTTTTGCAGGTCACTAGTTTTACGGCTGCGCAATATAAGGGTATTTTATTGTGATAATCCGAAGGAATTTATTCATTTTTTGTTAATTCCATAAAAATTGTAACAAAATGACAGTAAAGCCCTGTGTAACTGTATACTACTTAAACTAATAAATTAATCGTCACGCGAAACTCTGATTGAATGCGCAAAAGGGGCCGCTCTTACTCTTTTGAAAGGCACGTTCGGAACAAGAGGAAGAGAAAAAGAGGACGAACTTGCCAAGGCGACGTTGCAGTCGAGAAGCTGCCCATGGTAAGGAGCTCGCGAATTTTTCACCGGCCGGTGGGTGAGCTGGTGTACATTGTCGGGTACTTGCAAAAAAAAAAAAAAAGGTCTCAAGTTTAAACAGCCCGCGGCAGTGAGTTGCAGAGGAGCCGTGCCGTCGAGCTCACGGATATTTCACGCCATTGTCGCTGACCAGCTTGCATATACTCGCGGGGTCTCTTTTTTTATCTTTTTTTCCTCCTGTGTATTACACGTTCAAGCCTGTCTCGTGTAATTTTTTTGAAATATCACTGCACGCACGTACGGCGCTTCGAGCAAAAAGACGGTCATCAAAGTGTTCCTTTATGTTTTGCACTTATGTTGTCGCGTTATTTTGTTTTTTTTATATATACTTTTTTTTACAAATACTTTTTTTTATACCAAATAATTTTTCAATAAGTAAAAATCGAATAAAATTATAGACATGGAATAAAATTTATGATGCCTTCAATTAATCGATAGTTGTTGAATTGACGCGTATTAATGATCATTTATCATATAAAACATATTTCTATAAGACAATCATCGTAAAACATTAATTTCTAAGTGGAAAAAAACCATAAAATGTTTACCATTGTACTTATTTTATTTTCGTGATTTGATTTTTATGCTATTATATGCAACAGAGGTTTGAATTTTTACAATAAAATTTTTTCAAATATTTGTAGTAATTTATCAAGCTGTATTTAATTCAACATTTTTTGACTCACTTAAAGCAGAGTGTATTGGTTGTCAAAAGGAAAGGGTAATTAATGGTCGCTCCTTAAATAAACTGGTGTTGAATACAAAGTTTCGCGTGCCAGATGAAAATTTAGAATATTCGGAGGGTCTAATTACACAAGACGCGTTCTTATGAATCATCTCTTACAGATTAAATGCTGTCAATTTCAATTACAAAGCAATGTGGAAAAAAATAGATTGTCTTAAGAATTTATTTGTTTTACAGTGAAAAATTAATTTACAGATTAATTAAATTTCATATATTTATTAATTGTTGTGAGACTATCGATGCGAAGAAACCAAAAAAACTTTAATAAGATAATCAATTTCAGAAAAATGATGGATTAAAAAACGAAAGGTAAAGGAATTTATTGTAATTACTTACATTCATACCTTTGAATTACTAATTATACAGCTGCCCTCAGTGAGACTGACTTCTGCAGAGTGGTACAAGCAAATGGTATAAATAGATTCACGCCGATTCCTTTTATAGCTTTTTAGCTCATAGTGATATAAATTTTTTAAAAACGCATGACTCTTTTGTTAAAATGAATGGGATACTGTTTCCAAAAAAATATTCATAAATTTGCAAGGTGACTTTAAAACTTGCATACTACGAGAGTAAGTTTTTGCTCATAAATTTTTAAGATAAAGCGTTTAAGACAGAGTGACTGATGAGTAATGTTTATCCATTTTATTTAAGCTCAGAAAAACTTTGTTCTATTAGAAAATTTTCTATTAACTGTTACCAAAAATATGTTTAAATAATCACAATGTTTTTAACATTTTTTAAATTTAAATTTCATATAATTATCTGTTAAAATTTAACAAAAATAATTATCTGTTGTTGTTCATGAAGGAATAGCGAAAAGAACTATTTAACTCTCACAGGTAACAGATACTTATACCTTGGGTTGCTGAGCAATATCAACTGTCGACAAAGTTGGTAATAAAAAAAATTGGTAGAAAAGTGTTAATAATGCGTCACCAAGTTCGCCAATATGGATGTAAAATAAAAAAATCGGAATAGTAAATCGATTTAAAAAATGATAAAGACAAATAAACACAAGAAAAAAATGCTATGAAAACCAACAGGCTTACTTATGCATTACAATTACATAGTACTACTTTGTTCGGGCTCTATGTGATATGAAGAACTATTCTGTAAAATATTGGAGTGTTAAGAACAAATATTTAATTGTTTTCAGTGGCCAAACTTCTACAGTTTAAACAAATTTTTTTATTTTTTTCATTTTTATGTTCACAGAATTTAAAACCATTGAATTTATAGAACCATCAGCTGTTCTTAGTAAGACTGACAACTCCTAAGAAGTAATCTACATGAATTGCAGTAATAGAGTCACACTGATTCCCTTTGTTACTCTTCATCCCTTAGTACAAAAAATAAAAATAAAATAATTTAATTTTTTTGTTAAGATATACTAAATAGTGGTTTTAAATGTTGTCCATGAATTTAAAAAAACAGCTGCGAAACATATACTTCACAGCACGGCTCATATAAGTTGTTGCTCTTAGTAAAACAAAAATTTTTAATCTGCAAAAACAAGTTATCAATAGTTGTTTATGAAGAAATACTATGGGTCACGATGCCACGAATACGCGCAGTTATCCAAGGGGACTGCAAAGTAATATCAACTATGTCGACAGAGTCGGCAATGAAGAAAATTGCGTAAATACGGAAAAATTGATTTCTACCGAAAAGTACATTGATCTCGAAAAATTAAGAACTTGTGTTTGATATTCAAGATGCGTTAGATAAATTTAATTAATTGTTTAATACTTAAAAAATGTCGTTTTCAAAAATTCTTTGATTGGTACATGCACGTACGGGCTATAGTAACAGAAAAATTTTTTCCGAAGCTTTCTATAACACGATTGCCAATAAATAAGTTTAATATTGATGGGACGCAGCGTAATAAATTATTGTGCCATTAAAATTTTATTTTTATAGTTGTTATAAAACGCTCCTGAACAATTAATTTTCATTAATTTTCGTACAAGTTTGTTGCACCAAATATGAAAACAGCAATTTATGAAATTTTTCTAAGCAACCAAATAATATTGCATAAAATTAAACACCATATGGTTATGCATACGAGTTTTACATAATATCATCATGACATTTAAGTATGTAAAGTAATTAATGACGATGTAGTAAAGTTATATCCTGTGATAAAATATTAAAAAATTACGTAACGATGTGAATCAGGAGAAAAGAACGAATGATGAAAAAGCTTCAAAGCACATCGACAGTTGTCATAAAAACGCCTCTCATCCGAAACATCAAGGGCGCTTAGACAGTCGAGCCGGCTTGTTATAAAAATACCACCAATTTAAAGTAAATACCACGCAGGCAGAGAAAATTCAATAATACCAGATTAGTCGACAAAAAGGCTAGTGTAAGCGTCGAGCGACAGATCAGCATCATCATCATCATCATCGAACAAATATCAAACATGACCATTGGCCGGCTTCCCTCCAGGGTCCAGCTGGCGATATCCGTGTCGCGCGCGTTGGGCGCGTGCTACCACACATGAATACTGCATATACGTGCCTATCGGATCCGTATCGCATCGGCGATTACGTTTCACGTGTGCCTTTTATTGTGTCGGACGCGCATCTCTCCTGCTTTTTTTTCCCTCTCATCTCACGGGGATACATCCGCGTGTCCACTGCCGTGCATCTGCTGGACAGCGCATACATTGGCCATCTGACCAGTGGCCTGTCGAGGGGAGGTGAGTGTTTAAAAAAAAAGTAGAGAGAGACAAAGAGCGCGAGGGACGATGGCCACTGTCGGGCTGGTATGGGTGTACATGTGTGTTTTTTGTTGTAGGGACATGGAAAAATTTTTTCGAGGAGAATGTTTTTGTCCACACATGCGGTACAGTGGGTCTGGGATGAAGAGTTTTTTTTTTTTTTTTCACGTGTCCACGTGCCCGTTGCCGGGGGTAGCTAATTTTTTTCTTTCTTCGGAGTCGCAGAGAAGCATAAAAAAAAGGATCTACGCCTGCAGAGCGCCATGCAAACGTATATGTGCAGTGTACCAGAGCGGAGCAAATGCGGGAGCATCAGTGAATACTTTACGTAGGGGTGATTCTATACGGTATATACACCGAAAGATTTTTTTTCTTTCCATTTTTCGGGCTCATTTAACACGTCTCGATAAAAAAAAAAAATAAAAAAAAATTCTTTTTCACAAAGTATACTTTTTTACGTGGACAATTTATTCTCGATCGCGTAATCAAGGGTTGCACATATTTTGAACTAAGATTAGATAAAAGGCTGGGCGTGTTTGTATACATCAAACGAAACGAGTTGTTTTTCGTTCGTAGTTCCAATCAAGTAGATTTATCAACGCAATGTTATCCTGTACGTGCGATATGACTAGTAGGTGTACAATAACAATACATAAATTTCTACTAGATATAATTATGATATTGGTAAGATTTGAAGTATAAAAGAAATCATCGATGTGGAACTATTTGACGAATCTGAAGAGATACTCTAGCTTTACTTTGTATCAAAACAAACAAACAAAAATAAAAGAATCGACAATATTTGTTTATTTCACGTGCGTATCTTCACATATTTTTAACGTGTCACTTGAGAAGGACGAGGCACGAAAAATTTACCAATAACGTGATCGTTTGTAAATTATTTTTTTTTACCCTATCTCGATCCATTTTCCACTGCAATTTCGCGTTGAGATTATATTGAATTAATCATAGCAAAACATAATAACAAGAGTAAACACACACGCGCAAGCATATATATATATATCCCTCCGTAAAATTGTATCGGTAAAAAATTCACCTCTCGCTATATTAAATTAGGCCACGCGCCAAAAAGTTGATAAAACAACGAGAACAGCAGCGACTCTGCATTTCAATGTGTATACACGAGCCGTCCGGTGCACCTACTCACCCCCATCCAAGAAACCGCTAAGTAGGTAGTACGAAATTCCAAGGGGGCCACACCCACCGACCGTCTTCCCTATATGTATGCGTGGTTCTCCTGACCTACAGGCCAAAAAAGGCCTAACCGATACGTACCGTTGCCATCGAAATTATTATACATTATGCCCGCTTCTTATTGGCTCCCTTACGTGTACGGTAAGTAGGTCTACCGCGTGCAACAGGCTCTCTCGCATACCATATGTCGGAGCTATATAGCACACTTTGAAGACACCGAGCTAATGATGAAAGCGGACGGCAGTAAGTATACATATATACCCATGCACGTACCAATAATTATACGACATTCGGGGAGAGAGGGCGTGAAATTGCGCGACACTGGGTTGCGCTTTAAAACGCCGGTGTGGCCGGCAACAATACCGTGCGTCCCCCTTTTTTCGTTTTATTTTCTCTCTTTAACCCACTCCTCCTCGATTCGGCGACCTTGCAACCACGGGCTACGTGTAACCGCAGATGTCACTCATCCTCCTCGTCGTGGTTGACATTTGGTGCTCCGGGGTAATATATTCTATAGGTACCATGGCACGTTATCACGAGTGCCAAGAGCGCACGCGGGTGCATCGCGACTAGGTGTGCCGTGACAGTGGGAGAAAGGAGGAATCAAAAATTCAACGCGTACGCGCGCGTCCGTCTACCGGCTGACATGGACACGAGTAGCGTCACGTCCACCAGGTATATACACGTATATACATGTGTACATGTTCCGGCCGGTGTAGCGTCGCAGTTATATCGTGCATAATTTAGGGGTGAAATCGGGAATGAAAAAAGAAAGAGAAAGCGGCACCCACCGGTGTGCCATCGGCGAAAACAAGAGAAAGGGAGGGAGAGTCGGTTCCGTTGACGCACTTGTCACGCGATTATTTATATGTATATGTACAGGTAGAGGAGCGTCTATCTGTGAGGTTGGGCCGAAGGGAGCGTATCGGGTATACAGTCACGTAAGATACTTATTGCCAGTTGGAAGGATAAAGTTTTGTTTGAAATTTAAAAAGATATTTATTGATGACTTTTGAGAGGTGTACGAAAAATTTTAGACGTTTGGCAAATCTTTTTCTTTTTCTTTTTTTTTTTTTTTTTTTTCGTCAATGCAAGCCTAAGCTGAGCACGCGTTGAAAACATACAAAGTTGTGATTTTATTTCCTCCAACCGCATGGATCCAGTGCGTATAATCGAGGCTCAAGTCAATTTCTCGATGCTCGAGGACCATTTTCGTAATGTCCCCGTATTCAGCGGCAAAAGCAGTGGGTACGGTAATTGTTGGGAGCGTAAAGTTTCATCCACAATATTTACCGATTTTACTTGAGCCAGCATAAATTTACACAATAGGTGATTCCAAAGACACGTTCGACCCATTTGTGAGCTAAAGCACCCTCGCCTCACCTTTTCTTTTTTTTTTCCATCCCAGCATCACCAAAATCGGGAACATCAGCCGTACAGAGTCTAGTTA